AGGCGCCAGGTCCCCCAAGAGCGCTGCGCAGAAGACAAGCTGCCCCCCCCGGGGAGGGGGACAAGGACAGCTATGAGGGAGAGGGGAGAGGGTCTTCTCTGAGAGGCCTCGGTTGCTCAAAGCAGGAGGGCGGCCCTGCCCCCCCCCCAAACAGCAGCAGCAGCAAAAGCAGAGCCCTCTTGGGAGCAGGAGCAGAGCCCACACGCCACAGCCGGGAGGCAGGGGCTCCAAAGCCGAGGGGTGCTCGCAGGTGGAGCACCTTGACAAGGCGTCCTGCCCGTTGGCCTTTCCCTTGGGCAGCCTGCGGGCTTTGGCTCCCAGCAAGCAGAGAGAGGGGGGGCTTCACCTCTGGCTTCCCAGCCACCCAGGAGGAGGGTGGAGGTGGTTCACTCGGCCCTGGGAGGGAAAGGGCAGCGAGGAAGCCCCGGCTGCACAGCAGACCTCGGAGGGCCCTGGCCCTCCTTCCACAGAAAGGGGCTCGGCCTCCGTTTCTCTCTGCTCCCCAAGGCGAGGCTCCTCGCTCTCGCTCTCTCCCTACGCCAGGCACAGAGAGAGCCTGGGAAAAAGTTCTGCTGGTGGTTCCAGGTTTCATCCCCCCTGATTTTGCAGCTGCCTGCGGTGGTGGGAGGGGAGGGGCGTTGTGCCAAGGACTTGCATGACGACCCTTTCTCCCATCTGAAGCCTCCCGCATGGGGTGGGGGGGACAGTGGGTCAACCCTTACCCTGCTGATCACCTCGGCAAGGACATTTTGCTTCTGTGGCTTCTGCTTCTTTTTTTCTGAGTGAGGGTAATCTCCTGAGCTAGAGCCGGCTTGCGAGAACAGACCAGAACCTGGTCTTAAAGGAGTGTTTGGGTGCATCAGGCAGGCAGCAAGAAGCTGTGCCAGCACTGCAAGCTGCACCTCCAAGCAGCCTGAGCGCCAGTGGAAACGCCCCATTTCCTAGGGAAGATTGAGTCTCACTTACAGTTCATCAAGTGTCGCAGAAAAATACATTGCAGGAGGCGGGAACACAAATGTATGAGAAATTTCCAAAGACCAGAAATGAAATTTAATTGGTTGCCCCTGTTCAGATCAAAAATGCTAGAGTGCAGTTAAATATGTTGTTGTCAGCTTAGCTACCTAAATGCTATTGTCAATATAATCAATCTGCCTATGGAAACAATCAACACTCTATTTGGCAAGGAAAATCTGTGTTTCAAGTGTCGTAGTTTGGTTCCCCAGAGGCACATGGCTAGGGGCCGGGGTGAGGTGGGGGGCACCTTAAGCAGGCCAGTTCAAAGTGACAAATTTTGATTTTTGAAAAAGCAGGAAGCTCTTTCCTTAAACCAGCCCCTGGAGAGAAACGTTCTGTCAGAAGACCCTCGCTTGCTGTCCTTGAGAGAAGAGGG